TTGGGGTTTTTTTAATACTTTAACTATCTAAAATTTTTAATGTTGAATTGTGGGATCAGTGCTCCTTTGCTGCATTTATGCCAATAAACCTATTTTTCACACAGTCCAAAGAGAGCTTTTTAAAATCTACTTTTATGCTTCAAATGTTAATGGTATTACTGATTATTTAGAATGTCCTAATCACATTAAGAGTGCTGACTTATTGTCTTGCTTAGGGCAAGCCTCCTCCTCTTTTCCTTGTAACCTGATGGGAAAAAAAAAGAAAAAGAAAACAATAACAAAAAAATACTGATTTACTAGAGGATTATTGTAAATATGAATCCATTAGTTATAAATCACATAATCTCTGACATCTCTGATTAAGGTGCAGACAATCCTACATTTTAGGTACTTGAAGAACTGAGGGAACTGTAAAAACTGAAAATGGCATCCCAGTTGCCTGTAGTGTTCACGAGAATGAATAGATGCTAAAGGAGAATGCACACTCCACATATACAGGTAATTATGAAGAAAACATTGGCCATGGTGACAGGTGAGTTCTGAGTTTTATTTAATGTGTTTGGACTATTTTCCCTTCCTGACGATTAAATCAGTGAAGTCCTCTGCTGGATGTAGACATCATTATTTATATAGTGTTTTAATATTTTTACTGTCACTAGAAGTGATAGCATTCTTTCACACTGAAGCACTGAAATATTAATGTGTGTTCAGAGGATCTGGCCATTCATATTCTTCACTGTTGCACTTCTATCATGAAGAAAAACTTAAAGAAATCTAAGAGGAAAATTACAATTCTATTTCTAAATAGAAACCGTAGGTAACAAGTCTCTCTACTCAAAACTGCTCTTGTGAAGCTCATCAGAATTTTAGTCAGAATCAAGGAATGTTAGATGGAGAAAAATGCTTTCAAACAGATTACTTAGTCAAGTCCTGTCTTTGTGGTATGAGGGACAGCATGCTTGAGTGAAAGTTGCATCCTAGTTTCAGAAGATTTTAAATCTAAATATGGAATAAGTTTCTGAAGCATCTCATTCCACTCTAAGCAAGCCAGGTAATGCACATACACTGATCAGTAGGCATTGTGATAACATTTAGCAATTCACTGACAAAGACATGATGTTCTTTCTGGCTCCACAGAGATTTTGCAGCAGCCTGACCAACACACTCAGTCCTGCATGCAGGTGATAAAGCTGCTGCTTCTCAGGATGCCCAACATCCTGATCGATATTAAAGGAAATATGCTTTGGAAACATGAATTCTAAAGCACTAATTCTTACTCCTGAGTGAATTCATATGGAGATTAGCTCAGACCACTTTCAAGCCCTTCCACTTAAGGTAATAGTCACAGTAACTGTAGCTATACTATCAAACTAAACATGTATGGGACTGACTGTTGACTCTTAGCCAGTTGGCAAGGATCAGAACACATCCAGACTATGAAACACCTGAACCCCACCAAAATGGGGTGCTTATATGTATCAGCCCATTACAAATGCCCCTTCACACGCAGTAACACTTAAGGTATGCGAGGAATAGTCTGGGAGAATGCTAGATAGACCATTTGGCCCAAAATCATGGTGGTGGTCATACGAAATTAAAGACTATAGATGATAGCATTACACTGTCTGGGAACATTCTATGATATTTACTCCTAGTGAATGTATAGCCTGAAGAATTTGAGTTTAGCCTAGAATATGGAACTTAACCCACTTAAGAGACACTGAGTGATGATATTGTCCTGCAAACAGTCACTACTATCACCCTGGATTTATCTCTGCACAATGACAGGTGATTGCCTCTTCTGAATAGAAACACAGAATAATTCTACCTTTTCAATTTTCCTGAAAAGAATGACATGAACTCAGTCCCTGCCACGGAAGAACAGGAAGTGCAGGAGAGGGAAGAGTCTTCAGTAGAAGAGCCCATGTTTCTTTCCTTCTTTTTTTCATTAGGTTTCCAAAGCCATCATGCTATCTATCAATCTCTAAGAATATAATCGCTTCAAACCTTGTTAGCCTGCCCTTTTGCCATTCAACTCATTCTTCAAGTAAAACAAATTTAGAATGAAAGTAACATGTGAGGTACTGTTGAAGGGAAGAAGTTTGAAGGGGATCACAAAGCACCAGAGTAACTTTTTTAATGTTGCCTCTGTTTTTGTAATATCCACAGGGCTTGTACAAACATGTCTAGAAACACAAGCTCTTAAAAAGGAGATATTTATGATGCTGGTATAAAAGCTGAACAAAACCTTGAGTCTCCACAGAGGTTCAATGTAGCTGGAGTAATGGGAAGCTGTTTTTCTTGGTTTTACTTGCTTTTATATTTACTGAAACCAGTGCTGAGTCCTATAGTACCTGCTATAGAAAAACAGAATATGATAAAGATTAATACTCCAATGTGAGAAGCTGTAATTTCATTGGAATGATTTTTCTACTTCCATTTTTTATTATTTATAGGTTTTAGTCAGAGAAAGAATCCATAATATTTGAAATAAAAAAAAAAATATTTGAAATATTTCAACACCTTATAAGCTTGACTGTGTTTACAGATAATAAAGGAATAACTGAATATTGATAAAAAAACACAAAAATGATACTCCTAGATCACTTAAACTGGAATTGTCACTCTGCTGGGATGTCCTCTGTTAATACAGACTGAGGATAGAGGATCCACACCTCTTGCCAGACAGTTTGAAGAGCTGGATGATAAGAAAGACCAGCATCTTCGCATTCTTTTCTGTGTTTCCACACAACAGTGCCAGGAAGGCCTTGGTGTAAGTTTTACTCCTTTGTGGTCGGACTCCTTGGCTCTAACTAACTTTTGCTACATGGCTGAAGTGGTAAAAAAAGGTCCCTGCATTGGTATACAAGAACAAGGGATAAAGCAGAAGGGGAAGAAAGAAAACTCTAAAAATGAGTGGATGAGAATCACGGAATCATAGAATGATAGAATGTCTGGTCTGGACCTCTAGAGATCATCGAGTCCAACCCCCCTGCCAGAGCAGGACCATCTAGCCTCGGGCAGGTCACACAGGAGCTCATCCAGACGGGGCTGAAAAGTCTCCAAGCCAAGAGACTCCACAGCCTCCCTGGGGAGCCTGTTCCAGTGCTCTGGAACCCTTACAGTGAAGAAGTTCTTCCTCATGTTGAGGTGGAACTTCCTGTGCTCCAGTTTGTGTTCATTGCCCTGTGTGCTATTGCAGGTCATAAGTGAAAAGAGGTTGCCCCTTTCTTCTTGACACCCAGCCCTCATATATTTAGACACATTAATTAGATCCCCCTAAAGTCTTCTCCAGACTAAACAGTCCCAGGTCTCTCAGCCTCTCTTCATAAGGCAGGCGTTCCAGTCCCCCACTCATCCTCGTAGACCTTCGCTGGACTCTTGTCCATATTCTGTGGACAAGAGATATTCACATATTCTATCTTGAAGAATATCAACAAAGGAAAAATATTAGAAGAAAAGAAAAGAAGAAGGATCTTTAAATTCCAGAAAACTGCATGGCATATATTCTGTACATTTCTGTTCTAACAGTGTACCCAAAGATTCTATTAAAGCCACAAGGAAGAGTCATCCTGGCTCCAAGAGGCTTACTTCTCAGAGAAGTGCTACCTTGGCGCTTACTGTTTTCCAGACTCAAGGCGTGAAGTAACCAGAGGTTACCACAAAACAAAACCAGAAAAGAGTTCATGTCAAAACTGAGATTTTTCATCTCTCTCAAAGCCTGACTGTGCTCTGAGAGCGTTGTTCATATTATGCCCTCAGTGTAATATCTTCAGAGTGCCGACCTTGTCCTGTTAATTTTCCCCCTTCATGACCATTACTAAAGAGTCAGTCATTGCACGTGGTAGTTAGAGGACATACCACAGTGATAGGACACGTTGGATTTGGGGTATTCTGCTCCTTGCTGGAGACTCCAGACCTCACAGCCAGTGTAGCAGTAAAGGACTCCTTACAATTTTCTGTTTCAGATTGTCAGCAGAGAGGGTTTTTTTTCCAGACTATAAATTTGGTTTCTTATTTTTGAAGTCTGTGATGTAAAATGTTTCTGAATTTTATTGAGCTGTTCCATCTGTAATCTGCCTCCCTAAGGGAAGTGTAGTGCTCCTATATGACCTACAAACACTAGGAAATGTACCATGTATGCCAGCATAAGGTCTTCCCAACAGGAAACACTTTTTTAAAATATGGTGGTTTTTTTATACCTCTTTTTGATACTAGTTTGTCTCTGCATAGATAAAACTCCAGAAAAGACCAAATTACCTTTTACATAATTTTGACCCAAAACCAACATACTGAAGTGAAAGCACTTCAGATTAATGGGAAAAGATTTTTTTTTTCATCTCTTTTTCCTCTCCTGATGTTTTAGATTGAGAACGCTGAGCATCTGGTTTTCAACTTTTATAAAACAGAGGGAAGACCATACATATTAATTCTGAATCAATTCAGAATTAAAAATTAAATATGATGTACAATAATGGCCCTAATCAATTTGTTACTCACAGCTTTAACTTTCTAAACATGTTTCGTTATCTCTTCCCATTCATCATAGTAAAGGCAAACTAAAGAAACTGAAAAAAAAAAAAATAAGACTGGTATTGTGTATTTTAAGGACTCTGATCTCAGTCCTACTGTGAAATCTTACATTACAGCCACGGTTAGTTGGATCAACATATTTGAAAGCAACCATATTGATTGCTATTCCTTTAGCTTCTCAGAGAAAGAAACCTTATACTGGTTAAATGTGACATTAAAGTAAAGCTATAAACCCCATACAGCATTACAGAGAAATAAAAAGTTTCCTTGACAAAATCAGTTTATTTCAAATTTTGCCATTTCTTGTGGCTCTATACCTACTGACACCAGGACTCCTGATACTGACTTAAAAGGGAAAAAAATGATCCCTTTCTGCCAGGTGGTCATTTGCAGTTTCCAGCTGCAGTGATATGGCTTGTCAACTGGTCAGACAAAGTGGTAATTTATTTTATACTTTCTCATCATACCTTGAGAATTTTGCACATTATCTCATAAACTGAAAATGTTTTCTCAGCTCGTGTCCAATCCCAAGTTGTGACCTTGGAAAAAAAACAAACAAAAGAAACAGGAAAAGAAAGTCAGTTTTGTTTTGTTTTGAATGTCAAGAATTAAGTATATTTTCAAAATAAAAATGTATCCCTACACCATTTTCATCCAGTATAACGTACACAGAAAGACCAAGCACTGCCTCAGAGCAATAATTGCCAGTGACCAGACTGTTCCATCCAGGCAGTGCTTAGATGTCCTGCCTGTCTCCTTGTGCTTATAACACGGTGCCTTTGCATGCAGGCAGCTCTGTGCTGAATGATGAGGCTTCCCCTGGGAACTGGTGGGGTTTGCATTGAGATCCTGAGAGGATGTAGCCCTTGAATTCCTCTTACAGTCTTGACTATAAGGCAGCATGTTTGTCAATACTTCCCGCTTTGTAACTGCATGCCACAGTTTGCTCCCAGGCACCTGCATTGTTTGCAAACCCATAAAAATAAAGTATCCAACCTTGCAATGTCACAGATACTTACCCTGCACGCCTTAAAACCCAGGGGGAAAAAATACCAAGAAACAAGAGAGAAAAACAGACATTTTCCTTTTTTTTTTTACCAAGATGAATCTACTCCTAAATTCTACCAAACTAAGATTTGAAGAATAGTCTATTTCTCCCCTTTATCTTTGCATTTGTCAATTGCTTTCAACAGTATTAATTTTAAGCAACTGCTTGACAAAAAAAAATTGCATAGATAAGAGTTCAATAAAATCATGCAAGTGTAAGGGTTAAGGCAAATAAGACAGAAAGGGATAGATGAATATAGTCAGTAAGGGAAGAGTCAAGGCAGTATCACAGCCACCTATAAATAACTTTGCAAGGAAACTGTGAGGAAGAAACAGGAGAATTACGCATAATCTCAAAAGACAAAATAGCATAGAATGAAAACTGAGGCTATTTTTTTTATATATATATATATAAAAAATCTTAATGGTAAGAAACTTTGATTAGTGGTCCAGCTCCAAAGGAAGACAGTTGTATCATTACAACAGTTAGGCAAGATGAAGAGGCTGATGAAGACACAAGTTTATTGGTTTTCAAGATTCAAGAATATAAAGGTCTTTGAGAAATATATCATAAAAAGTTATCCACAGCATACAAAGTATTAAATGAGACCAATTTATCTTTTATCTAAAGAGAAAGCAACATTAATAGACACAACATGGCTGAGTAGCATCTACAGATTTGGATGCCTTGGTCTAAAACTTTCTTGATCAAAATTATTTTGATGTTGTATGAGAAAATTCTATCCCTAACTAATTTTTAGGTATAAACATTATTGTAATTGAAATTTATTTGAGGAAATCAGTCAAGAATGAAAAGTTCAAAGGTACAGTGTCATAGTTCCTCTTCTATTAGAATTTTATTTATTTGCAGTCATCCCAAAACTCAGTTTTCAATACCTTCATGAAGTATGGGTATTAGATTTCTAAGGAGGGGAATGACTTAATACTGAGAGTCAACCAATTGTTTGATACAGAATGAGGAAGTGCAGAAATATCGCAAATATACAATCTTTATGTGTGAGCTTTAAGAAGCTACTTAGAGATGTGATGAACAACACCAGCCACACAAGCTGAAGTCATATTGCCCCATCAGGAAACGTAGTTACAATTGAAGCACAAAGCCATTTAATGCTTTTAAAGGCATTAAAATCTTACTGTAGGCTCCATACTTTGGGGAAAAATATCAGAGCTCCTTCTTCTCCCCTAGCTTTCTGCTTTTGTTTGTACCTATAAAGGGACTTCTTTTCAGGTCAAAACAAAACTCTTTCTATAAAAAGATATGTGCAAGGCAAGAGCAACTCTAGGATTAAGGCACCCATAGAAATTGCTTGCCCTGTTCACTGTTAATATTTTAATTTAAAAGCTTGAGTAGCAAGGGAAAAGGTATTAGCAACTCTTTCTCAGTTGAAGTATGTTTTCTCTGAGATTTCCAGCTATAAACTTTAGGAAAGTGAAACCCACCAGGCTTGATACATTTAATAATTCTAAAGGAGAAAATGGATGAAAAAATAACACAAAAAGAAAAATGTAATTTTGTTTAAAGCTATCAAAATGCAAAGGATATGTTAGAATTGCTTATTTATCCAAGCATGTAAAGTAGATGATCAAAGAGATAAAAAAAGAAGGAGGAGGAGGAGGCCACTGATATTCACTGTTTAAACATGTTTCCCTAATGTGTTAGACTTTGGCAGAGACCAGGGAAATACTTTAATTTGATTTTCTGGTTATAAAGTTGGCAGCATATCTCTGCTCAGAAAACAACTTAATCTGAGGAGTTTAAACTGCAAATATAATTAAAATTGTTTTTCCTCTTAGAGCTACACTTTATGCATCTCATAAATAGAAGCTCTGAAACTGCACCATTGAAAGTTTTTTTCTTAATCTTTTGTAATCCCTGGAGGAGATAAACACATATACCTGCAGAATAGCAAGCATAAATATATTTGTAAAAGTTTGCATATACAAAAGATGACTTTAGAAGTCCTTTTAAAAGGCCTGCTATAGTCTTTGATAGGAATATAATTTTGCTGGGCATATAAATTTGTAATTGTTATTGTATGTAATCCATACATTACATGTTTTTAAAGTACCTCTGTAAAAACTCTCCCTCTGTTTGTCCTTTAAAAACCATGTGTGTCATTCTACTTCCCTCCTACTCCACGGAGAGAAAGTACTTTCCTCTATGTTTGAACTGTCTTTCTAGTTTAGAATAAGAACCAGAATCTGGCAAAACAAAATCACATTGTGCTTGCAGCTCAGCTGAAACAAGACCTATAAAGACTTCAAGGATCAGTGGCTTGTCTCATACAGCAGCAGCTTGCCAAAATTGTCCTAACTCACATCACTGTTGTTCACAGTCCTATTACAAACATGTTCCTCCCACAGTCATTAATCATCACCCATTACCCATATAGCCACCAGCAGCACATTACTCTTGGAAGCTTATGATTGAATTCTCAGTAAAGGGGCTTGTAGTACTTTCTATAGTGCTTACAAAAGAATAATCTTCCTATTTTGCATAGAAAGGGAGCTCTCAGCATTGTTTTTGCCTCTATCTAGTGCCTAGAATGCAGGTGGATTTATTTGACAGGCAGCAAATGCTTGGGTAGGTCTGCCAAAGCCAGAAGAGCTGCTTTTGAATAAGGTGCTCAGCAGCATAATCTGACATTTTAATCTGATCCTGAAAAATACCCACCAACAACAGCCAAACTCCCATTACTAGCCATGGGAGAGCCCAACTCCCATACCAGTGAACTACTGCACCAACATTAAACACATGAAGATTTCAGTTCATATTTACTTCCATTCCCGACACCTTTCAAAAGGTCTTAACACTTTGCAAAACAAACATGAAATGTGTCTGATGAATGATGTAAAGATTTGTAAATTTGCTTTGGACTACTTCCAGAACAGGCTGTCCAGAGAGGTGGTAGAAGCCTCATCCCTGGAAACATTCATGGTCAGGTCAAATGGGGATCTGAGCAACCTGATCTAGTTGAAGATGTCCCTGCTCCACAGCAGGGGGTTTGGACTAAATGACCATTCAAGGTCCCTTCCAACCTGAAACATTTTGTGATTCAGGCAGGAGGGAGCTACAGCCTGGATCTGGCAAGACAATGTTTAGCAGCAGTCAGAAAGGTCAGCCAATAAACAGAACAAATGAATCCCCATGACTCTCCCCGCTGCTGGTACAGGACTGCTGCTGGCTCCTTATCTCCTGGTTTAAAAGGTGGATCTCTGTTTACTGCAGTTTAGATGCACCATAAATCTGTAAAAGTCAACTGGTGAATGCAAAACACTTAACATTTTGCCCCGCATTGCCAGTCGGATTCCAATTAATGTATTTAATCTAAACAATTTCATTTGCTTCCCTACCTTCCTTTTGGTGCTCTGAAGCAGCAAAACAGTTACATTCAGGACAGAAATCTAAATACAGAGATATTGCCACTTCCACAGCATGCAAAAAGCTTCGATATTTCCCCAAATCTCAGCAGTTTGACTAGAATAATAGTTCTGTTTAAAATCTAACCATCTTGCTTCAGGCTTGTTCTACCTGCCAAAGGAAAATGAAAAGCCCTCTTTTAGCACAAGCAGACTTCTCTTGTATTCTTCTAAGTGCTTAGGTAAGTGGGGGAAAAGAAATTGTTAGATGCCCAATCATCTACGAATAACTATTTTCTATCACTTCTACACCACATACCCTGGAACTTTTCAGTGCTGTGAGTCCTGTTAGTTCAATGACTGATATCTCATGGTGAAAGTCTTGTTCAAAATTATTTTATTTACTACTACTTATTTCCATTAAGCATGAGAAATATACTTACTGGAGGTGCTATAAATTTATACAGGGAAGATCCCCTCAGTGCTAGAAACTTTGGTGTGTACATTCGATCCTGAAGGGAGTCTTGTTCCCGTTCTTCTGTCCAGCCCATGTAGACTATCTGACAGAAAAATCAATAGTGTTGACAAATTCCTCAGACACTTTTTTCAAACGAATTGCAAATATTTCATGCAAGTAAACTGAGGTCTGTCAAATTTTACATAGTTAGAAACTTGAACCACTGAAACAATACAGTGTATTGGCAGTTCACTTAAAATCCCATAGTTATATAAAGTATGCCCATTATGACAACCCAAAAACATCAGAACAAATATCTACTGTCGTCAGTGGATGTCAAAGGTCTATTATCTCATTAAAAACTCCCTTAAGTAATTCTACATATTTGCTGACAGATCACATCAGAGAAATTTAATCCAAATATTTAATGTAGGCAGGTATACAAAATCAAGTAACAGTTGTAACACTATATTGTAGATTCCATCGCCACAACCAAGTTCCCAATTATGCACTAAACAATATGAATTTACAAATTTTCGTTCCAAATAATGGCAAGCTTTCGCCCCCCCGCCTTCTGAAAATCCCTATGTAGGAGTTTTGAACCTCCTTGCTTAAGAACAGCAAAGTAACAGACTGTTTGCAGACAGTATTTTGAACAGAATTCATCTACAGCTAAGAATTAACCAGAATGCTGTCGACTCTTACCACTATTTGCAGATCTTCCAACACAGATGTATGAACTAGAACTTATTCAAACTCCTTTTAGGATCCTATTCCTTACCTATTCAGCTATTAAGTTTGAGTAATTTAATATCAAATCCTTGAACAATAACATAGCATGAGTAACCACTATGACAACTTGTGGAGAACATCTGAACAGGGAGCGGACACATGATGCAACTTGCGATTTATAACCATACCATTAGTAAAAAAACCACAATTTCCAGTGTGCACTGGCACACCACTGCTAAGGAAAATAGATCAACCCATATTTCATGTAGTGCTGCTGATGATCTATTTTTAAATTTCTTTGTGAAACTGATTTCTACATTAACTAGACATGGGGCATTCTCTGTCTTAAAAGTCAGTCATGAACATGTAAGAAAAACAGTTTAGGAAAAATAACTACAATCATATTAACAGTTAAGGGGTTTCTAGGTTTATCAATGGTATAAATGTACAAAAATGAATGTTTGTACTGCATGCTTTATCCTTCAAGATGTTAGACGTCATGTACTTTTAAAAAAAATATTTACAGAAGTTTATTTCATTACTGTTGGGAAGAGAATTTTCATCAACAGTTCTTCATGGAGTATACAATAAAATAAATTGGGGAGTGTCTGTTGATTTTGCTTTTGTTTTCTTCTTTTTTTTTTTTTTCTTTCTGTTGTATTGCAACACACTGGGAATGAATGGCTTCTTCGAATCCCCGTGCATGAAATCTACACTACTACTCTCCATCACAATTTATTAGGTATTTTATGGTCTATAAAAAGAGATAGGGAGAAAGACCATTCCTCTAATACCTACAGTGAAAGCTCACCATTTAATTCTCTTGCCAATAGCAAACACTAATACCGTAATACGTCTTGGGTCCAAAGAATAACATATGTTTAAGTATCTGCTGGTTTGGTGTTTGAACAACTTTATAAAACTGAACAAGAAGACAGAGTTATACCACAATACTCAAAAAACAAGCAGAGTGCTCAGCACTGTGTTGTCATGCAGTAACTAAAAAGCCACATTCTCTGAAATCTGCTTCATTCCTGCATGAGGAAAAAAACCAATCCCAAAATCAACAACAAAAACCACACAAAACAAAACCCCAAAAAAACCCCAACATTGGCAGGTACTGTGAGAGAAGTTTATAATTACTTAAATTTGATGTTTATTCAGATCTCTCTCATTTCTGATGTTTTTTTACATTATCCAACGCAGGATGTGTGGACCCCCAACCCCTCTGACGTGGTAGGAATCTGCAGAACTCAGTGACTGGGAGGGGCTGCAAAGGACTAAATTTAGTATAAAAAATCGTACCACTATGTGCAGAAGTTTGGTAAATTTTCCTCTCTGTAACTAAAAGAGAATGAATGATCTCTAAGTTCTTGGTATGGAGACATTTCTGCTTTAAAATTAATTAAACTGAATTGTTTTGGTTCTATCTTCATTTGTTTTACTGAAATGGGACACACAATATCATCTTGCCTGATGATATTTAATATCACTCTAGCACTGTACATAATCTGTTTTCACTGAGTGTTTTTCTTTTTCACATCCCTCATTTCCACTTCTACTATTCATCAGAATAACAGGATACAGTCACTCGTGCTGTGCAGACGTATTGATATTTCACATTTGATTGCCTTAACACTAAAGCAACCATAAGATTTAAGGCAATTGCTCCTTTAGATATTTTTCTCCCTTGCCTTTGTAGATCATGAGGAGAAATTAGATTGATTTTTCAGACAACCTGCTGTATCAAGGTTTCATGAACAAAAAGGCATTTCTCCCTCACACTAAATATCTACTATTAAACATACAGAAGAACTATTAAGCAAAGGCTGAATGATTACAATTAGAAGCACTTACAAAGTTGAGTGCATGTGCATGTTCACATGTGTGGATTAAAATAATATGGGCTAGATTCTGGAAAATAGATCAAAACTGAAGAAATACTTGATAACCATTTTACTTATGTGTTCCTAAAGCAGTCTCAGTTTATCTAAACACCCTGAACATATGAAGCTATATAAAATATTGTCATTTTTACATAATAAAGCTGAGAAACTGTTGAAAATTCTTCACATACAAGATAAAAATAGCAGCCATGTTCTTGAGACATTAATGTTACTGGTAAACATTTTGAGTTCTGAAAATCTTTGACTCTGAAAAACTTTAAGAAATTTATTTATTTGGAAAAGGATCTTCATTTTCCAAATTAATACTTCACATGTAGATATGTATTGAAATAGTGGATGAATATTAAATTTGACTTGTGAGTTTTGGAACATATCTTAATGCTGTACATGTGGCCTTGGCCGAAAATATGGAAATTCATGGGATTCTATCTGAAAAGAAGTGCTTACAACCACAGGCATATGGCAAAACAAAACAGGCAAATGGAAATAAATGTGAATCACAAATAGACAGTGCATAGCATGCCCCTTTATAATTTTTTTTTTAAAAAAAGTTAGTTTTTTAACCTGAGAAAAGTTATTTTTAATCCCTATAAACTACTGGCCATTATTAAAAATGGTGGCAGTAGTGGGGAAAACAGATCAGTCCACTTGAATGATAATTTTTCAGTCTTTGCTTCTAATTTACCTGAAGCAGCTCATTCTTCAAAATCAAATGGTGACATAAATTAGTTAACTTAGTGGCTGCTGGTTCAGTAACAAAGATTCAATAACATATTATAGTTTATGAATTAAATCATGCACAGTTAAAAAATAATCTATATCTAAATGATAAATGAAACAGGACACTTTCCTCAGTCAAAAATCCATAATCTCCTAATGTAGTATGTCGCTCCATCACACAGATATCCTAATCAAGGAAGATAAATTGCCATATTTCACATCAATCCAACATACTGCTAAAATAACTTAAAAAGCCTTGACTTTCAGAGAGACTTCTCTAGAGTGTTTACACAAATTTTATTATATTTTAGGAAGAACAGTAAGATAAAAATACAAGAAAATTTCCCCAAAATGAAATGTAAAATTTATGTGACATTAAATGAGTGAGGTGATTCAAAGATCAGAACAGATGCACTGACAGCTTTTTATCCTGGCAGTCTCATATCCATACTCAGATTATGTGAAACAGTGCTGTAGGGCAACAGGAGAAACAGGGAGTCAGAAGACAAACGATGTGTCAGACAACACAGGGGAAAAATGATGAGGGATTCAGGTAATGCTTTCTACTCTGGTTTTAATATCATTATCTCTGTGTGATAGTCTCAAAATCCATTATAGTCAATTGTTAGCAGAAAAAAAATAAAAGCATATTAATATGGAACAAGAAGTGTGATTGTCATGCAAAAACAGCCCTGTAATTAAAAGGTTTAGCATTTCTATGCTGAGCAGTATTTTTTTTTTCAAAGTCAACAGAAGAACTAATCATATACAATTTAGAATGAATGCTAGAAAAATTGTGCTTTGCTGTCAATCCAGCCAAAATGTTTCCTGTCTTATTTTTCAGGTTTGTGAAAAGCCTGGTAATCCATAATATGGTAATTTCATAATATGTGTGTTTTTTTTTTTAATTCTTGAGAATTTCACAAAGTCCACTAAAGCAAGGCAGAATCCATATGAAAAATAATCTCAAAGAAACAGAAGACAAATGGCAATGAAAGGTTATTTTACATATGTTTTAGACTTAAATTTAAAATAATTTAAAGACTTACTTGTTTCATTATGTTTTGTGACAAATAAACATCAGTTATGCTCAGTATTTGCTACAAAATTATGCCATGAAATTATCCACAGTGAAGGAACAGCTTTGACAAATAGCTCCTTTGACTTTCATTTCTGAACTGCAAAATTTAGATATGAACTATTTCTGTTCTGAATTATGGATGCACATGGTCCTGGGCAACCTGCTCTAGGTGATCTTGCTTGAACAGAGGAACCCCTCTGGCAAGGTGACCTCCAGAGGGTCCTTATGACATCAACCATTTTGTGATTCCATGAAATAAGAAAAATTATGAAAGTATAAAACCAGAAAATGATAGCCTGCAAAATAGTTGCCCTCTTCAGTTCTCATCTGTTGTATCTCCTCCTTTCTATCCTACGTGCTTTAGAGCTATCACTGACAAAGATCTCCTTCATATTTTTGAACTACTTACTAATAGATTATCCAATTTCTAAGTATTTCTCCTATTACTTGAGATTATAAAAGTACTATGGGAGATTATAAGATTACACGTTTATTGTATCTCATGTATCTTAATTTCCTTCTGGGTAAAGAACTCATGTTGTGATCTTGTCACCAGACCAAGGCTGAGTATAGTTTTTTCATTTATCTTTGTCTTTTATCTTTTTTTTTTTTTTTTTTAATCTGTTTGTTTGTTTGTTTTGTTTTGTTTTTTAATGATCACAC